TGTTCTTTGACGAGCACTAGATCACGTTGTAAACATAGACATCTATTGTTACGCCTCCATCGAATTACGACCACCGTAGTCGGGATTGAACTCGCAACCGTCGTGTCAGCAGCCAGGTACCATAATCGCTTCAACATCGCGGTGAACCATGCGTGTGCGAACTAATCGGCAAGACACCAATACCCAGTAATGCCAATTGGAACAGGCGGAATGGTTGGTGAATGAAGCTTCTCTTTAAAAAAAATGAAAAAAACTGCAGAGTGGTTGATTGGGCGAGTTGGCATGCATTCGTGGCGTGTCCTGTTTTCCACGCACTAAGCATCGCCGTAAATTATCTCTGTAAATGTCATTTTCGAAATTAAGCTTCATTAGCCAACCATTCCAACTAAACGCCGGAAAAACTAGAGTAAAAACACCGTTTATCACGCGTATATACTGCGGTACTCTTCGATAAACTGGTTATATCATCATGGTGGATGTCTATTCTTATTTGCGCACCTGTCGGTGGACTTGGCTGCTTTTCACATCGAGTGTGCCCGACTCGATGGGGCAAACCTCGGCCGGAAATTGCTGAAATGAGCCCCCACGCCGAAACGAATCACGCAGGAGTCTTGCTTGCTTGCTTGATCCTGTATACCTTGGCTCACACCCACTATGGGGGATCGGCGGTGATTGTAATGGGGGAAAACGAATTTTTAAAATTTGATGAAGAAAAAGTAATTATTCAGTCAACTAGGGGATATAACAGTGGATAATCATAAGGTGAGTTACGAATAAAGTAGTTAAATAAATAATAATTGAAAGGGGCCTCTTTTCGCAGCAGGTTGTGGTGATGATGATGAGGATGATGATGACGACAACGACGATGATGATGATGATGATTCATAGCCTCTGTCTTCTGAAGCACGCTACGAATGAAAATAATCGTAATGATAGAACGGCTCGCTTATTAAGGGATATATTCGTCGTTTGCTTATACTTTGGTGAACGCTATGAATTCAAAAATAACTAGTTTTTTTTCGGTTCATATGTGTAAAGTACGCCTCTTTACAACTTATAGGTAATCGTTATAGCGAACGCATGGTTATTAACTGAAATAGTGTAAAGCCGACGCGCCAAGTGTTCAGCAAAGAGAGAAGCGCCTGCAAGCGTTTAAGTGCGGAGCGCTTTAGGGGCCGGGCTTTCGTAGTGATCGTATGCTCTTGTGGTCGTGATTGGCGTAACGTAGGCAGAGGCAGAACCACGAATCTGTAGCGTACTGAGAGCGTGCTTGCGCAAAAGAGAAGCCTTCTTTATCATCTTCTTTGAGCGCCTTGATGGTGCTAAGCGCGGTGCACTTTATAGTGGCCCAGGCTACCGTATGCTATCGTCGCTTGTCATGACGCAGGCAAAACCACGTCTAAAAATGGATAAGAGGAAGCAAGCATGAAAGAGAAGGGAAGAGAAACGGGAAAATCTAAAAAAATTAAAGAGCAAGGATATAGAAAGGATTAAACAAGGAGGGATCAAAAAGTAAATCGAAATAGAGAGAGAAAATCGGAAAACTGGAAAAGAGGAAGGAAAATAAAGAAAGGAAGACAGAAAAAGAAAAGGGAAAGAAACATGGTTGCCAGCCCAGCTCCGCATTTGCTCAAGGATTAGTCTTGCTTGCTCTATAATTGTTCAAAAAAATTATCTCAGCAGTCACCTTCGATTGGCTCTCATATGTCACGGGACTATAACTGCCAAGGGAAGAAGAGGAAAAATTGGCTTCTGCGCGACAGATTGGCAGATGAGTACAGGTGGTGGACATCTGCGAGTCAGTTTCTATTGACGTGTTGGGATGTATTTCAGCAAAAAAAAGTTCTGTTCGGCGAGCTTGCTATTCATGAACACTATAGGAGTGTAGAAGTGTGCAGCAATATTACCATCTGATGGTAATACGCCCCCTCACTTTCCTCCGTAGGCAAAGGAAAAGTGGGTTTTTTGATCACTGGAAGAAGGCGATCGTTCCTGCAGTAGTTGGCGCTTTCGATTGCACGGTCTGTGGGAGGGGATTGGCCACACTCATCACCTTTGGTTCTTTATTAGCGGTAGAATTTCTTTTTGCTGATTTTTCAGGAGCCATCAATTCCGGTCTCCGGCCCCGGCCAGGGCTCGTCCTGGTCGGCCAGTCGCCCTGCTGAGTCTGTACCACTGGAGTGTTTCCTCAAGAACGGCGTAAGCAGTTTGCCTGTCGCGCTTGTGCCCACTGATGGTGGATTCATTCGCTTGATTGAAACGGAGGTGTTCCAAGAAGAACTTCGCAACATAAGCGGTCATTTTCTGGACATCTCGGAGGTGAGGCGTTTCGGCAAGACTGGCATACTATGCAGGTCTTCAAATATTCAATGCTTAACAGACTTACTGGCCGCCACGAGATTTGCGTTCATTGCTGTTCGCGCTTTTATCCCCCCTCATCTTGCTTGCGTGAAGGGCATTGTTCGCGGTGTTCCATCTAACATTAGTCCTGAGGCATTCTTAAAGATGGTCTCTCCGGCTGGCGTGACATCTGTCTACAGATGCACCAGACCTGTAGGTGATACGCGAGTCCCTACTGAAAGCGTCATCGTTACCTTTGCTGGTCTCACACGCCCCTCTGAACTGAAGGCCTGTCCTTATCTATTCCGTTTGGAGGCATTGACACCTCGCCCACTGCAATGCCGTAACTGCCGGCGATTTGGAAATAGCGCTAATGCTTGCAGGTCCTCATTGAGATGTGTGAATTGCGGTGGGGCACATGCCGCATCAAATTGTCTGGTAGACAACTGCAGGTGCTGCCTATGTGATGGAGCACACACAGCCACGGACAATAGCAGCCCTGCTCGAGAACGTGAAACACAAATTCTAGATATAATGGAGAAACGCCGTTGTTCTCGGTCTGAGGCAACTTCCTTCATTAAAGAGCGCGAAGTGGGGTACGCTGCTGCTACGTCACGCCAGTGTGGGTCAATTTAAGCGACGGTCGCTTCCGCAGTGTCGGCAGCGGTAGATAAGGCCATGCCAATGATTATGGAACGGCTTTTCAACACCTTTGCTGAAGGTCTGACCGAGATGCTCGCCGCCAGGTTAAACAGCCTTATTCGCTCCTTCGCTGCACACACTGTCTCGGTCCAGGGTGAAGCTGAGCACCTCGACAATGAACAAAATAATCGGTGTCAAGAAGATGGTACCCCTGAAACGCTCGTCAGCACTCAGTCGCCAACCCCTGTGGGGCCCAGTGGGTCATTTGGTGACATGAGGCTTGGTAATATCACTCATAAACGACGCAATGCTCCATTGTCTCCAACCAGTTTGCCAATGTCAAAACCAAAAAAGTTATTACTGATACCAACAATGAGCAGGACGTTTTGCGTTCTGCAGTAGTGTCAACTATATTAAGTCCATCATAGCGCCTGTAAAAGTTCTTCAGTGGAATTGTCACTCCGTATCTTCCGCTTACACCGATCTTATTTATCTCATACAGCAAACAAATCCTAATATAATTTAATTCAAGAGTCTTGGCTTTCAGTAAACCAAACATTTACTCTGAAATATTTTCGAACTTTTAGACTGGATCGGCCAGGTAGAGGAGGTGGATTATTGGTTCTAATATCTTCAAAAATGTGTCATCATGTTACTGTAACTTTTGAACATATTTGTCCGGATTGTTAATTGTTAGGAATAGATTGTTTGTTATCTGACTCCAACAGGATTATAGTGATTAATGCGTACTTTCCGAATGGAGTAAGACGCACAGATCACCTAGATTGTGTTATCAAGAATTCTTCGTCAAATTCAATTTTATTGGCTGGGGATTTTAACTCACATCACAATCCTTGGGGGCTTAAAACAGATGGCTGTGGCAAAATATTGTGGAGTTGGTTGCAGGATAATAATTTTCGCTGTCATAACTCTGGACAAGTTACCTTTCTACGCGGGATAAGCTCATCAACATTAGACCTAACATTTTCGTGTGGCCAATTTATGATTTCATCGTGGGAAACGTTTGATAATGGGACGAGTAGTGATCATGTACTAATTACTTATGAAATAATGCTACCACAACTTACCCCTGCTATCCGGCAACAACAGTTCACCAACTGTGAAATTTATAAAACTGTTTTAAACTCCGCGCTCTCGTCATTGAGAGGACGCGTCGGACAGCAACGAGCTGCTTCAGTCGTAGAGTGTCTAAGTGACTCTGTCCAGCAGGCAGAGTTTACTGTTAAGTACGGCAGCACACCGTCAAACTCAGCTTGGTGGAATGGAGATTGTACGCTTGCGTATAGGCGATGTAAGGCTGCTTGGAAACGTTTACGCCACAACCATACTCCGAAAAATTGGGTTCACTATAAATTTCACGCAGCGCTGTGTAAACGTACAGTTGCAATAGCTAAAGATAAACACAATTCTGACTTACATTCGCGTTTATCAAAACCTGATAAAAAAATCTGCCCTGTACAAGTTTCTACGGAACAAAAAATCGACGCAGGTACCAGCATATTCGCATTCAGTAGTGCTGTCTCCTAAAGAGAACACAGATTTGTTAGAGGGCATCGCGAAAGGACTTCAAGCGCGTTTCGCTCCGTCATTCTTGAGACCTGTGACATTAAAAAGCGCAACCTCGGACTTTCGCGAGGTCACTATGGCTGAACTGGCAGATGTCATACTAACTGTAAAGCAAGCGGCTACCGGTCCAGATGAGATTACAAACTCTATGATTAAATTGATATTTAATTCCCATCCCGAGGAGCTTTTGAATATTGTTAACTGCTCCTTACAGCACACATGGATTCCAAGCGCATGGAAAATTGCTAAAGTTGTGTTGCTGCGAAAAAATCCAAGCCTCGGATATGTCCTGGATAACATTCGGCCAATTTCGCTTACTTCAAACCTAGTTAAAATAATTGAAAGAATTCTTCATAGAAGGCTCAGTGAATTCATCGCTCGTCAGGACATCTTTTCACCAAGGCAAGTAGGACTTAGACAGGGGTGCTCTATATGGTCGGCTCATGTTGATTTGGAAAGCCGAATTCGCCTTGCAAAAGTATCTGGTGAGCTTTCTGCATTAGTCACGTTAGATATCGCAAAAGCCTACGATAGTGTGGAATACAGTACATTAATTTCAAGATTAGTGAACTGTGAGGTTCCCAAGTACATTATATCTTGGGTTCAGGAGTTTCTCTTTGAGAGACAATTTTTTTGTTGCCACGAGGGAATTACTTCTGCTTCATATAAGCGAACAAGAGGTGTTCCGCAAGGATCAGTCCTGTCACCTCTTTTATTTAATATATTACTATCATCTATTCCCGTTCATAAAAATGTTACTCTTTACGTCTACGCCTATGATATTGCTTTTTTCTCGTCATCCCGAGATATCAATAGTTTGTATCAAATCTTACAGTCATATTTGAGTGAGCTTGAGGTATGGCTTTCCAGGCTGTCTTTTTCACTTAATGTTAGCAAATGTGCTCTGCTTGTATTCCCTCTATCCGTTCCCGTATTTCTTTCACTGCATTATCGAAATGATCTGATTCCGCAAGTAACCGCGCTAAAATATCTTGGTATTGTTTACGTGGACAATTTAAATTGGCAGCAACAAATAGAACCAAACACCCGTAAAGCAGAAAGCGCCGTAGGATTGCTCCGCCGGTTTTGCGATAAGAAGTCATGGATGCGCAGGGATACGTTAATTATGATATACAAACTTTACGTACGCCCAATTCTGGAGTTTGGCTGCGTTCTGTTTTCTGGAAGTGCTGAGCACAAATTAAGACCTCTTATATTGCTAGAAAGGCAAGCTCTGCGGCTGTGTCTCGGGCTACCTAGGTGTGTCGCGAATAGCGTGCTTTATTTGGAAGCTAGAATCATTCCACTTGATGCTAGATTTCGACAGCTTACAGTGCAAACATTTTTAAAACTTTACGATGCGCCCCTCTTCTGGTCACAGACAGTTTTCATCAAACATCCAGTTTCTTTCTTTCAGCGCCCGTGGTTTCGTTATCAAAGACCCCAAGTCATTTTCGTCGAGTCTCTGTTATCAAATCTTCACGTTTCCCTCCGGCATTTAACCCCCCCAAACCCAATGCTCGGTGCCAGTTGACTTAATTTTCGATGATATTTTTCCGAAAAAATGCCAAGTTACTTCCAAAGCATGTTCTGGAGGGCCTCCTTCAAGACCATCTCAGTCATTTTCCTAAATACGTAGTAATTTCGACGGACGCAACGCAAAATCTTCAGAAGGCTGGAGTAGGTATTCTTTCTCATCAGCTTAATTGGTCTTTTGTGCTCCGATTGCCTGACTTCACACCAATTTATCTCGCAGAATTCCTGGCTAGTACATTGGCTCTTCGAAAACTAAATTATCAGCAATCAAAAGCTATTATTATTTCGGATGCTTTGTCTGTATGTACACATCTCACGTCCGCAAAGAAGTCTCCTCTTCTCAGGATATTTTGGTCTCTCGTACCGCATAGCTTATCAGAAGTTCGGTTTATTTGGGTCCCCGGGCATGCTGGAATTGAACTAAATGAAATTGCTGATTCGCTCGCTTCGGCATCTTTAAATTTCCCGGTGGTGCTAGTAGCTACACAGTTTCCTTTTATTACTGCCGAACGATTCAAACGCCTGTTAATCTTAAAAACCAACGAAACGTCGCTTCTACAATCTGCAGAATTTCGGCACTTGCAATTCACATGGAACACCGCCAAATGCCTTTCCCGTCAATGTGAGGTGACCCTCACAAGCTCTCGCTGTAGAGTTCCTCTGTTTAATTTTTATCTCAACAAATCAGGATTTTCATTAACTAACCTATGTGTAGTTTGCAATGAACCGGAAACAATAGATAACTTTCTTCTCACATGCCGCCGCTTCGTCTCACTGCGCCGAATAATTCTTGAAAGACCGATTGGTATGCTTGGATTGCAGTCAATACATCCGCCCTATTATCGTTTGAAGCCAGTTAGTTGGGTGTGGGCCGCAGAGCTATTCTGTCAGCGCTACATAAATTCATTCAGGCAACCGGAAGAATACGCTTCTAGTGGTACTGCCAGATATATCCAATTCTTTCTCCCCCTTCCTCATTCTTGTTAATTTGTTTTATATTGTAACGATGTTGAAGGATTCGGGGTGTAATAAAACGTATTTATTAAAGGGCGAACCTGTGCCCACAGCTCAAAGCGACTATGGTCGTAGCACGTTAAAGCAGAACACCAAAGATGTCTTCTTCTTCTTCTGCTTCTTCAAGAAAAGTCCCAAGCGCGTGGCGCGCATCAGCAGGGGCCAGCTGGGTTCTCGTGCTATCATCATCGTTTCTGCGCAACACTAGACGGCGCGCATGTACGTCCCTCTGCACGTGGTGATGGCGCGTTGTTTCAATGCAGGCACTATGTCGCGGCATGATCCCCCTCCTCATACGCATCGTCCCGATGCGTCAGGCAATGAATAGATTCGTGGTAGGCGTCACTGGTCTTCCGGTGATCTTTCATACTAAGACTTCATCCGGACTACATGTACAACCTCTGTAGGGTTGCGGCGTTTTGAACTCCCGTGTATAGCGGATCTGACTTGGTAAGTTACATCGCTTACACGAGGAGTACTTCGTAAGGCCCGAAGTAGCGGCTAAAAAGTTTTTCAGAAAGTCCACGGCGACGCACTGGAGTCCATATCCATACTTTGTCACCTGGTTGAAAATGCGCTTCGGTACGACCCTGATTGTACCGATAGGAGTCGATACGCTGTTGGTGGCGTATTCTGTATCTCACCAGCTGTCGTGCTTCCTCGGCTCTTTGCAGGAAGTCGTCTAGGCCAGGTGGATTTCTGCTTTCATCATTCAGTGGTAACATGGCATCCAGTGGAGTGGTGACTCGTCGGCCGAATACAAGTTCAAACGGTGTCACTCGCGTTGTTTCTTGAACGGCTGTATTATATGCGAACGTGATGTAGGGCAATATTTCATCCCACAGTTTATGTTCGAAGTCGATATACATTGAAAGCATATCACTCAGAGTTCTGTTCAAGCGCTCCGTTAGGCCATTTGTTTGAGGATGGTATGCTGTAGTTCTTCTCTGGTCTATATGGGTCATTCGCATCAGACATTTCATTAGGTCTGCAGTAAATGCTGGGCCACGATCTGTAATTAGGACGCTGGGTGCACCATGTCTGAGGACTATGTTGTTGATGAAGAACTTGGCAACTTCAAGAGCTAATGCGGTGTACAGCGAGTCAGTCTCAGCGTAGCGAGTGAGATAGTCCGTGGCTACGACT